AAATCAAGAAAACCAAACAATATATAGCAACCAAAATACAATAGCCATTAAGATTTCATAATATATGCATACAAAATCTGATTCCAAAAATCGGGCACGCCGGGCAGGCACCAATGTATGCAATCCGAATGTCGTTTGGCATTCGCCAATTCGTCGGGACTTATTTTGCTAACCGACCTTCCGTAAATCGACGGATGGCCGTCTTTTCTGTAGTTTGAAAGAAGCGTTATGTCAAGATACTCGACTTTTAGCCCTCTTTTTTCGAGCCTCTTCACCGTCGAGTTCACCATGCGCATCATATACAGGTTGATTTCGACTCCCAAATACTCCTGTTTAAGAATCGGCTCGGTTTGGTTGTAGCAGTTTTGTTTGACATCCCAACTTTCGCCGCTAAAAACAAAAACAAAAACAAAAAACAATCAAAGTACCGTACATAGTTTGTGGGAAACCTTTGTACGTCGCAGTGTATTAATAGAAAGCGTTTTGTAGCGCGTCTGCGCAGTGCGAAATAGTGTAAAATACCGAAAATCGCGCTTTGCATGAAATACCTTTGCTAAATGCTGACATGACACATTATTTGTCTACACTGCCAAAATTTCTATAGCCTATTATCTTACGATCATGTTTGGATTTTTTTTTTTTTTTTAAATTTGAACTAAATCGTGTTATGAGTTTTACATTTTAATATGTCATATATATTAAGATATATGTATTTAGTGTTTGTAAAGAATAATACCTCAATGTTATTGTTTGGATCCAATATTTAATATTAAACTCCTTCATTTGACTTAAGTCGACTATTCAACACACTACGCTATTTATGCTAAAACGCCGTGCAATTTTTAAAGCGTGACAAAATAAAAATAAGAAATTATTACTGGAAGTGAGGAGGCGATTGACTCATGAAAAAAAGCTTTGTTTTCGTTCGGTTCACGTTGAGCTGCAGCCAGTCGGACCATGTTTCGATCACCATTTGGTACGGGCGAAGCTTTTCTCCGACCACTTTGTACGTCGTGTTCGACCCACCAAATGGTTCCCATCTGGATGTACAATCTTACGTTTAGAAAAAGTTTAAGCATTGAAAAAAAAACACACTATTTTTTATAGTAAACAAAGACCATAATAGAAAAAAATAAGTTAGTGTGTATGAAAAATTTGATTTCGAACATAACACCAACATTGAAAAACTTATTTTGATCGCAAAAATCAAGTTTTGAAACAAAATTTTAAGTAAATGTGTCCGAAAAAACTAGGTTTCAAACACAAATGAAAAACAGAGGATTTTTCGTTCGTCATGTCTTTCTTTTCAACAAAAAAAAAAATAAAAATAAAAAAAAAGTTAACCGCTTACGAGAGTGTCATGGTCCGCTGGTGCCACCAAGAGAATGTATCGAAGACAAGAAAATCCGAATTTGTCCAATGTCGAGCGTGTTTTTCGATATCTTCGATTCTAATTATACGGTCCTTCACTTGATGATACCCCGGATTGTCTGCATTCGACTCGACTAGAAATGGTGACCAATAGAATCCAATTGTGGCATTGTACTCCTTCATGAGTTTAAAGACAGGAAAAAAAAAGAACAACATTTTAGTACATGCTTGAATGAAATTTGTTCTTAAATATACCAAACATAAAACTGTTGGTCTTGTGCTAGGCCTTAAGATACTATTCTTACAAATATCCATACCTTCATTAGAAACAACACTAACAAAAGTATGACATTTGACAGTATGCATTTAGGCTGACTGCTACGTGTTGTATCTTGGTATTACTTTCTTAATCTAATAAAATAATTACGTTAATGTCCACGTGTTGTGAGTGTATCAACCCAACAGAACTTATGAACATAATAAGAAAAGTAGATAATCTTACAGTTGCCTGAAAGACGAACAAATTGCCTTTCCTGGTCCATATTTTAGCGGTCGATTTGCTTAGAAACGGCTCGATCAGGCAAAGCATCGATGTCCATTGGTTTCGATTCAAAGAGTCACCAACAAAAACAAGACTTTTCCCTCTAATTTTCTCCAGCAACGCGGTCCCATTAAACCTGATTAACATTCAAAATCGAAACAAATTCGGAAGAAAAAAAAGTTCAGTCGATTCATTTTTTTTTTCTAAAATATATAAATATAGGCAAGAGACTAAGAAACCTAGGAAGATCACAGCCATGAGGCTGCCATTTCCAACTTTGATACTTAAAATCCTTTCTCCCATTGTCCAAACAGGCAAAAGTGTTCTGCATGAATGAACATTGGCTCTCTTTGTACAGAGGATACGATTTTTCGTCAAAAACCCATTTGCCTGAAAATAAATCGCATTTCGAAGAGGAATCTTCGTGCTCGTCTTGATTTTTCACGGTCGGTTGCTCGATTTTCGAACCCTGTTTCACGTTTGGGCTTTTTTCGTCGAGGGCTGGATAAATAGATGCAATTATGAAAGCTATGAGGAAGATGGCTATAAGGTAGTCAAGTTTGAGTTGATTTATCCATGTTTTTGAACTCNGTATGGTTTATTTCAAAGGACTTGTATATTTCTAGTTTGTATTGTGAAAGAATATTGTGACATACACATTGAAGTCCACTTTATGGGCTACTTAGCAGTTAGTACAATATAGTTGGAATTTTGTGATCAGTTTAGAGCAACACTTGACTGAATATCATTGTACAAATGAATGCCAGATTGTGAATTGATTTTGAGTAAGTCATATATAGTCATCTATTTATGATGAGTTATTATATCATGTGAAAGTGGTGTGGATTTCTTATCATGGTGAATTTTTTTTTTAAAAAAAAAGGCAATATTGTTCAATTACCTTTGAAGTAAATTATTACAAATTTATTGTCCAAATATACATAGAAAGGTTAAGTAGAAGGAAACAAGAGATATGTAACTCGCATCAAATAGCTGTGTGATTCACTAGGATAAATTCTATATAGGTATGAATTTATGTTGATGTAATTGCTTTTTCTTGATCATAAGGAAAATATTTTACAATCACACAAACTCAAATCAGATATATGAAGAGACTATAAATTTCCCCAGGCCAGAACCCAATACAGAAGGGAATGAATCAGTGGGCTTTCCCATGTGCAGAATCTTGGGCCCATCTAGTCCTCTTAGCCCAATCACTAGCAAACAATTTTCGATGGATTTAATTCTGATTATACGGTCCTTCACCCGATGTTCGACTCGACTAACAACGGGGACCAATACAACTCGATTGTGGCATTGTATTCCTTCACCAAATTCAAGCAAAGTAAAATTGTGTAAATAAAATTAAGCATGTCAACATATATATATATATATATATATTATTTAATACCGTACCTTGGCTCGGAAAACATACGAATTGCCTTCCCGGGTCACTAATTTAGACGAGGCTGGACCAAGAAAAGGCTCGATCATACAAAGCATTGATGTCCATTGGTTCTTATTCAAGGAGTCACCCACAAAAACAAGCATTTCCCCCCTTATTTTCTCCAGCATTGCTCTGCCATTAAACCTATTCGCATACCGCAAAATTATATTTTCGAAAAATATTATTTCTTTCTTTCTTTATTTTATTTTTTTCACAACAACATATGTGAATCGAAATTAAACCTTGGAAGATCACAATCATGAGGCTGCCATCTCCAATGTTGATACTTTGAATCCTTTCTCCCGTGCTTTTGACACGCGTACTCGTCGAACATAAACGAGCACTCTCTCTCTTCATACAAAGGATACGAAACATTGTCGAAAATCCATCTGCCCGAAAAAAAATCGCAACCCGAAAAAGAGTCGTTGAGTGTCGCCTTATTTTCCTTTACCGCATTTTGTTCTGATTTTGACGGGCTCGTTTTTTGCAGTATAATTCCTTTTTCATCACCTGTTATATAGATAGCAGCTATGACTAAAGCTAAGAGGAAATTAGCTGCAAGGTTAATGGCTATTGAATCTTATTTTCTTTGTTTGATTCATATTTTTTTGTGGTCCCCTCTGTTTTCCTCTGTTCAGTCAGAACTCGGTTTTTCTGGAAATCAATACTTAATATTAAAAAGTGGGTTATAAAATACAGTAAAATTTTGTGTTTTTGAACTAATTTCACATGGGTTTCTTGAATTATGTAGCCATAAATCAAATTTTAAGCACCAATATAAAAGTGATGATAAATTAAGTAGTTTAAAATTTGGTCGAGATTTAGGTGAATTCAGTAGAAAATCAAGTTTAAGGTTAATCAAATGTTATTGCTTTTGGAGACTTAATATTAAGATGGATGTAATAAGATTTGGTTAACCTACTTACCACAAACTGAACTAATCTGTGGAGCTATTTCTATTTATATAATAATATTTCACAAGCAAGAAAAGTATGTATGAATCTGATTGCAAAACAATAATCATAATCATCATCAAACTATAATATAGTAACAATAGTTCATCCTCTTCACAAAAACCACCATCAAACAATCCATTGAGAAACTTATACTACAATTCACATCTATATCTATCTATACTACTCTAAAAGGGCGAGTGTTTTTGTAAAAATATGAACTACCTAAAAAACCCTTACTTTGGCATATTTTTAATGGCAAATTAGTAATAAATTAATACACATCATATTTTATATATTTAAATATAAAAATGAATTACCTAAAAAACCCTTACTTTGACATGTTTTTAATGGCAAATTAGTAATACACTAATGTCCATCATATCTTTTATTTTTAATTATAACTAATATGTAATTAATTAAATACAAATACATGAACAAATCATTCCACACTCCTAAAATCAACTACAATATGTTGGTTTGGCACCATTATTTCTCACGAATTTTTTTTCTTTCACATATCTCTAAATTTGTTTGATAGGATATAGAATTGTTGTTTTGAAAAACCTCATTATTTTTAATATAATCTTAATGGTAACCTTGTAATCACATTTCATAACTCTAATATATAAAAGTTCTTTAAAGAAATTAAAATTGATCCGACAAAAAAAGCATAATAAACACTTATAAAACTAGAAATCGATATTATTTTTTTTCATAACAACCACAAAGTATAGAAACATTATTTTCAAAATGACCTATACAAAATGTGATAGTATGCGAGATTAATTGTTGAATGATTGTTCTGCAACCAAAACTTCTAATCAATTCAATTTCTTCGGTACATAAGACCAGAACAATTTTATGAAACATGAATTAATTTTAACCATATAATTATCAACAAATTAATTAAAAATATCTCGAGAATCATGATATGATTTATATGTTGAAAATTAATTAATTTTAATCAAAAAATTATATTCATATATTATCCTTACTCATCTATCTATTAATATGTGTTATTATAATAAAATGGTTTTTAAGAAAAAAATGTACGAAATAAAAAATTTATATATTTGAGTATAAATGAGAAGACTATAATTATATACGATATAATATAAAGATATATCGCAGTTATTTAGGTGGTATTCCGAGATTGAAGAGATCTCTTTCCTCTCCTGAATTAATTGATATAAATAAGACATATGATTCAAAAAAGTGTTATACTTTAATTTATGTATTTTTTAACAAACCTAAAAGTTATACACACACACACATATATTAAAATACATATGAAAGAATAATTTAAAGTTAAAAAAATAATAAATCTAATAAATAATATTAAATTTATAATTAAGTTATAACACTTACTAATAACTATGAAAAAAGTAATAAATAAAAATATTATAATTAGTAAGAGTAATTGTATAACTTTTAAATTTGTACTTATGGATGTAGACGAACCAAATTGTTCACCACATGTTAAATTTTTGCGCTTATTAGTTCAGTGTATAAATTTTAAACGATAGACAATAGTTATTTATATTTTTATCCATGTAGGTTAGAAATTTATTTTTTATTTTTTTTTAAAAATAATTTTGATTTTAAATAACGTTTTATTTGCTATTAGTTTTTTAATATAATATATAAATACCATATTATATATATATATATATATATATACAATAATGCTTTTTATTATTTGATATTTAATCTGCAATTTAATGTGCAAGAAATGTAACTCAATCGATAAGTTAATAGGTAGTTTTGCGATAAAATAATGAGCGATTTCTAAAAAAATATATGGATTAAAAAGTTCATGTGTATATTCTTAATAGAAAAATTAAAAATACATCTAATTAATAACAAAAACTTCTACATAAAAATATAATTTATAAAGGAATAAAAAATATTACATTGCAATGAAAAATCCAACGGTAAGACATCCACTGAAAATCCCAAATGATATTTTATTCGTATAGCTGTCATTGTAAAAATTCATTGACTATTCCAACAAAGATCAAATTACATTATATTGAAATTTCAGTGGATTTAATTAATCCAATTATCATTATTTATTATTGTGTGAATTTCCATTTGAATTTTTTTCGGGTCATATTTCAACAGTTGGAAAAAAACTGGAATTCTAAGAATTTCAATGGAAGTTCTATTCAAAATCTACCTGCAGTGGTGGATACAAATTAATTTCATACTTGAGTCATTATTTAGTTAATAGAAAATGTATACCATTAAAATAACATAATGTCATTATAATTTATAAATTATATTTTTCATAATTTGTCATCTTTCTCAATACAGTTACAATTAAAAAAACATAACTTTTCTCAATTCAACATAAGTAAATAATTGAAAATAATTATGTTTTTTAAAATTGTATGAACAAAAGTTGACACGACAATATTATTGATGAATTTATGAATTATAAATATTTAATTGTAGTATAAATTAAAAAAATTGTAATTAAATATAATATAATATAAGATATACAAATACTTGATATATAATGAGAAAGATGATGAAAAAAATTCTAGACTTTATATTATGCATTTTTTGACAAATCTACAGTTAAGAACATGTAAAAGAACAAGATAAAAGTTTTAAAAATATTAATTATGATAAATAATATTAAAAATAAATAAGTTGTGACACGTATAAATAAATATGGAACAAAGTAATAAATAAATATGTTATAATTGATAGAAGAAATATAAACCTTTTATAAATATACTTATCGACGTAAACGAGGCAAGTTGTTAAACGCTTGTTAGTTTTTTGTCCTTATAATTTTATGTGTAAATTTGATGTGATGGACAATAGTTATTTGTACATTTATCCATGTAAGTTACCAAAAAAAAAAAAATCTTTGTTATTCTAATTTTAAATAGCTTTTTATTTGCTATATTAGTTTTTTTAATATAATATATAAATATCATATTGAACATATAAAATAAGAAATATTCTAATTTTTAAATATTTAATATGTATGAAATGTAACTCAATTGGTAAATTAATAGGTAATCGTGAGATAAAATAATGAGTGATTTCTAAAATAAAAAATATAGGAACTAAAAAGTTCATGTGTTTAATATATTTTAATAGAAAAATTGTAAACACAATTAATCAATAAATACTACATAAAAAATTAATGTTTAAGAGGACTACAACAAATTGCTATATTGCAATGAAAAATTCAATAGTAAGGTATTCTACAGAAAATTTCAACGAATATTTCATAAATATTGCTTTTATTGGAAGATTTCATTGGCTATTCCAACAGTCAAATTAAATTACATGAACTTTAGTGGATTTAAAGATTTCAATTACTTGAATTGCCATTGGAATTTTTTTTTTGGACCATATTTCAATCATTGGAAAAACTGTCATTGGAATTGTGCAAAAATTCAATGAAAATTCCATTGGAAAGCTAATTGCAGTGATAGATCCAAAATAATTTCATATTGGAGGCATTATTTAGTTAATAGAAAAAATATACCATCAAAATAACATGTCATTGTAATTTATAAATTATACTTTACATAATCTATCACCGTTCTCATTTGTAATACATTTTAATAAATCAATACAGTCACAATAAGATAAAATATATTTAAGAAATCAAAAGACATGATTTTTCTCAATTCAACTTAAGAAGATCGTTATATACTTGTTGTAATTTTTGTTAGAATTTTCTCATTTTTCTTGTAGTAAAAGTAAGACTCCAAATCTATAAAAAAAAATATATAAAAAAAATTGCATTATATATAATATTGTGTACAACTATTATTATGAAAAATTTGATATGATATAAAATATAACACATTCAATGTAAATGTCGTTTAATTTATGATAATAAGTAATTTTTGTTTCAAAACAAACAAGATACTTTAAAATTGGGTATGTTAATCTTAAAATTTTTTAGTTAAAAATTTAATTATTTTCTATCATTAAATTTTTTAATTTTGAAATGCTTCATATTTTTTTATTTGTTACTCTTTTTGTATGTAATATCACATCATTTCTTTTCAATAATGTTTGAGTTGACCAATATATTGCAAATAAAATAAAAATAATATAATTATTTATATCGATACACACACACACACACACACACACACACATATATATATATACACATATGAGTACTAATTTAAAAATAATAAATTGACCTAAAATTATAGTATATATTAATTTTTTTATTCAAGTTAAATCAATTTTATTAAGTATAAAATAACATAAGATAAACTTGTGGTATATTTTTCTTACACAGATTTGAAACAATTCATATTAAAAATAAAAAATAAAAAAATGGAGGTAAACTTACAACTAATCCCACGTTTTGTCTAGAGCGCCTATTCCCGATATATATTTGACACTGGTTTGCCGTAATGCTGAAACTATGGCGAATGCACCTTAGGTACAAACGAAGCGAAGCGAAGTGAAGTCATAGATAAAAGAAGGAAAAAACAAGGCCAGAAAAGGGAAATGAGATAATATTAGTTATGTGAATTAAAAAGACAAATAAATGAGTTGTATGTTAAACTATTATTCAATTAATGCTTAAAAAAGAACCCTATAATGGTGGTACCATATATGTATTCAGTGATTATGAAAATGACTTAGTTACCTAATATTTTATCAAACATTAGAAAAAATTGTAAACTTTTTAATCTAATAATTCGTATAAAAAGTACATTTATATCAAATATATTAAATTTACATTGTATCTTATGTGATTATGGTAGTTGTAGCCTAATAAAAAAGATAATTTGAAAACATCATTATATAAAACACATACAAAAATTAATGCAATACATATAAATGTGCTTTAATTATTTAGCAAATAAAATATTATTTGTCTATAGAATAAGAAACAAATTATATAATAGTAACACAATGAGAAAAAGAATACGTGTGAATTTTCTTAGAGAAGTATGAATACCAATATTTACAAACAAAAAGTCTTTGAAAATTACTACTTTTTTGTTGCTAGCGTTTAAATATATGGACTCTGTAAGAAATTGGTTTTCATAAATAATGATCCTATATTATTTATTTTTTATTTTAAATAATTAAAAAATCCAAAAATTTGTAATACATAATGTATATTTTAATCATGACTACATAATAATAAACTTCGCAGATGACTAAGAGTATCGTAATATTCTTCTCCTATCAAATATTTAAACAAGTGATATGCTTCTCAATATTTTCTCATTGTTTTGATTGTTTTGTTTCGTCATTGTTGGAGAATAAAGAAATGATTTTTATCTTGAATTTTATAATCATTTTGTATGATGAATAATGTTGGACAATAAAAGCATTAAATAAGTTATTAGGCACACAAATATTGCATATTCAAACGAATGTGAAAGATATTATGATAAACAATTCTAAAATCATTGCAACAACCATGATGGTCAATAATTTTCAAATAATAGATTATATTGTTCGTCTATATTCCAAATAAATAACAATGTCGGAGTATCAAAAGAGTTTTGAATGTTCGAATGAAGTTGTCACTTTTTATAGAAATATTTATAATCTCATTGGTGTATTGTACTCGAACATATGTGCAATTACTTTAGAGGTACGTTCAGGTAATGTATGATGATTTCAAAAAATAATTTAGCACATCGAGAGAAGTACATGTAACCAAAATTTTGGAGAGTTAACTTTTATTTGGAGATAAATTCATTCCCACCTCGTGGGACGATGCATCAATGGGGTAGGCACCAATATGTCTAGAGACAGAGGAATGTAGTAGTTTATACAATGATAGAAAAATACCAGCAATTTTAATGACACAATTAGTTATTTCATAAAGATATTTATGCATTGTTAGTAGAAGTACCTTATTATAAAGATTATACGATCATAAAGTTTGATTATATGTTGGGTCAGAATGTTTCTTAAGTGTTTGAATAAAATTAGCGTTTTGCCAAATGAATTAAAAGGAATTTTGCAATAGTATTGATGTATTGGACTCTAGCGAGTATGAATGTTTCTATGAGAAAGATGAAAGAAAATATTAGTGTTTTTTGTATTAAGGATTTGTTTTTTATATATTTTAGTTGGGGGTTGTAAAACGTTATTTCACTCTTTTTAAATTAAGACATCATTACCTTAATTCTAAATAAAAAAATTCACATGTGAATTCATTTGTTCTATATTTTATTTCATTCCTGGAATGATATGTTTAATAAATAAATTAATTTATTTTACAAACTTACTCTGCGAAAATCATTTGATACCACGTGCATCGCACGTGCACTTTACTAGTAGCAAGAAAAATGGTTCGAGATAGTAACACTAGAGACACTACTCGTGTTCGTTTTAACCAATCTACACTAAAACTCTAAACCGAATCTATATATAAAAAAGTATCACGATTTCATGATGTAATCGTAAAGAATGCGATTCCAAAAATCGGGCACTCCCGGTAGGCACCAATGCAAACAATCAGCAAAAGACAAAGGGTCTCGTTTATTCTCCTCGTTCATTGGAAACGACCGGTATACAGAAGGGTGTGCATCCCTTCTGTATTCGGACATTCGAGTCACGCGAAGATATTCCACATTTACCCCTCTCTCCTTGAGTCTCTCTAGAGCCGATACCAATACACTCGCCATTGTGTGATTCGAAACCACAAAATCATCCTCCTCGGAAATCGGCTCCCTTCGATTGTAACAATGTCTCAACATGTCGCTTCTACACGAGTTTCGTGCAAAAATATAAAGTGATGAATAAGTAAAGAAACTTTCTTTGTTTTGTCGAAAATAACTTTTTAATACACGCATATGGCAAATGTAGTACACCTCGTGATATAAGGCGACGAACCCATGAAGAACAACTTTGTTTTAGTTCGATTAAGGTTCATCTCGAGCCAGTCGGACCAAGTGTTCAGCGCCATCTTGTAAATACGGTGGTTCATGTCGAGCTTCTTGTAGATGGCATCGCGACTCGCAAATGATCCCCACCTAATCATCATCATCATCATGTGTAGTAGTGCTGTTAATTAAACGAATCTGGCTCGGTTCGGCTCGAGCACAGAGAATTTGTATATAGTTACATGAGTGTAAATGTGGGATTTTAACCACCAAACATGGGGATTAAACAAACGTGAAAAAGGAGACAATCATGCATACTTACAAGATTGTCACTTTTGGAGTCAACCACCAAACATGGGAGTTGAAAATAATTATGTCTGCATCATTCCATTGCAAGGCATGCTTTTCGATGGCCTCGATTATTACAACACGGTTTTGAAAGTTACGGTGCATAAGGTAGTCGTCACAATTCGACTCGACCAAAAATGGCGACCAATAGAAGCCGATTGTTGTATTGTATTCCTTTCCACCCGCAAAAAAAAATAAAATAAAATAAAATAAAAAAATAATAATCAAAAAACAGAACAATAGGAAAGAAAAAACCTCAAGATCACAACATTGAACGAATAGAAGAACACGCGGATTATCTATTATTGTTCGATCGTCAGTGATGCTAACTCTAAAATAACCAAATCATAAAAACACTAAAAGAAAAATTCAAAATCAATTAGAAAATCGACTTACTTTGTTGTAAAATGAGTTGAATCGGGTAGCCAAGGTCAACGTCTTGTTTGCCGATGGAGGAAGATACGGCTCGATCATGCAAAGCAATGAGACCCATTGGTTTCGGTTCAACGAGTCCCCGACGAACATTACTTTTTTGCCCCTTATTTTCTCCAAAAATGCATTTCCATCAAACCTATTTGTGATCATCATAGCCTTTTTGAATATTAATAATATGTGGCTTAATTAAAAAATTAAAAAATCTTGTGTTTTCTCAACTAAAAAAGAAAAAAACCTTGGAATGTCACAATGATTTGGTTGCCACAGCCATTTTCGATACTCGAAATCTTTTCTCCCATTCCTTTCGCAGGCGAAACTAAGCTCCATAAACGAACATTTGTTCTCCTTGTAAACATTGTATGACCCTTTGTCATAAACCCATCTCCCGTCAAAAAAATTGCAATTTGCCGTTCGTTTTTCTTTCACGGCCTTCCAATAACTAACATTTCGGTTCGCGTACAGAATGGTGGCCGCTAGGGACACTAAGACGAGTCCCCAAAGATGATGGAACTTGAAACAAGTCTCCCATGTCTTAACAACCATTTTTTTTATTTTTTATTTTTTATTTTTACTGTTTCTTTAAATTGTTCTGCTTTTGATCATTCATATGTTCTTGTCCTAAAAGCCTCATTAATCCCACGTGGTTTACTAGTTATGTGGGAAAATAATTAACATTGAAGTTCAAAAAAAGTAATGAATTGTATTTGCCTTCTTTCGACAAATGGAGATATTATACTAAACCTGATAGGCTCTTAATTAAGCAGTAGTCATTAAGCAGAGATACATGCTTGTTTCGATTTTTTTTTGCCTTCTATAAAATTAGTAATTTGATGTCTATACTCGTTAATGATGATTTGGTACATTCATACATTTTCTTTTGGTTCTTAAATTCAGATCACAACATAAATTCTAACACTCAAAACGCCATAATTCAATCCAAAAACAACCATAAACAATTCAAACTGNATTTGATTATTGACATAGGTCTCTGATAACCATTTTCCTCGTTCTCTGATAAAATGGGAAGAGGCCCAGTTTTTATTAACGTCTTCAAAGGGATTTTTTTAAAGGACGTTGGTACGTTGAAATACTAAGCCATGTTAGTAAAATAATTCAACATAACGTTTTATTTACATAATTCCAGCCCGAATATATTTCAAATTTCGACTCGGCCTCTTATATTATCAATATAATTAAATGAAGCTTCCTTTTCATAATGATCTCCATTTTCTTCCTTTTTTTCTTAGCTGTTGTTGACCGATATGCCTACAAGAATTTGACTAAAAACGAAATCTTCTTATAGTGATAGAATGCACTTCCAAATTTCTAATATCCAAGACCATTACTCCAATGAGAAATGAAAAAATCATGCATATATGAAACTTGCATGAGTAATTCAAATAAAAATATCAATTCACTTTCGACATGTAATCACATTTTCAATTCACTTTTCGACATTCAATACACCATCGACTATGTAAGCGTACAATAACTCATTCCATGTGTCGGGAACTCCGGGCAGACACCAGTGTATGCAATCTGCGTACGATTTAGGGTTCGAAATTTGCGAGTCGGTTAGAGGTTCCCATTGTTTTCGGAAAATTGAAGGGTGGCCATCTTTTCTATACTCGGAGAGCTTTGTAATGTTGATCATTTGGATTTTTAGACCTCTTTTTTGAAGCCCATCTATTGTTTTTTCAACTGTTGTCATCATGTTAGTGTCTGTTTCATTTCCTATGTAGCCTTCTTTGGTTATTAAATGTGTCTCCGTGTGACAGTTTTGTCCTGCGGGTTTTCCCCATTTTTCAGCCCTGCAAATTGGCAAAATAATAATAATAATAATAATAATAATAATAATAATAATAATAATAATAATAATAATAATAATAAATTCAAGGTGAAAAGTTGTGTGAATGGAAAATAAAGGGGGGAAATTTGTGTTTAGAAGTATACCTTTTAAAAATTTTAGAGCTACTAATTTTTGAAAGTTAACTAATTTGTGTTTAGAAGTATACCTTTTGTAGATGATTTATGTTTTGAAAATCTCAGTAAGTACTAAAAGGACCAAGATCAAGTGGATAAATAAATTGAACATATCATAATTTTTTAACACTTTTTAAAATCTCAAATAAATACTTAAGAACTTTTATAGTTTAAAAAAAATCTAAATTAAATACATCTGAATTTTTAAATCTAAAAAATTGTCTACAGGAGACAAGTTGTACTAGCGATTAATGTTATTTTAAAATATAAACAATAATGCAATTCTCTACTATAAATATTTTTAGTTAGAAATCTACTAATAAGTTAAGGAAAATGCTACAATCCCGTTACGGAACCATTCCGTTGGGATTGTAACAGTTAGATCATCAAATAACCGTCAATAATAGTTGATCTAACGGTTACAAATCCCAACGGAATGGTTCCGTAACGGGATTGTAGCCTTACCCATAAGTTAATTCGAGGTGCATACTTTTCATGAATAGGTGACATGCTCATGAAAAACAATTGGGCCTTCGAACGATTGACGTGAAATTCCAACCAATCGGCCCACGTTCTAAGGGCCATTTCATAGCTCCGCTGCATGTCCACTTGTTTATATATCCCATCGGAGCTATTGAAGGCGCCCCATCTAAAAATCAATAAACACAATTTCAAAAATTAAAAATTTTAAAATTAGGAAATGCCCATTTAATTTCAAAAAAATATAAAATTAAATGAAATAAGATTTGCCCTCACAAGACTTCCATTTTGGGCAATTGGCGCCACCAAAGATAGCTGTTGAAAACCAGAAAATCGGCATCGGCCCAATGGCGGCCGTGTTTTTCGATTGCCTCAACTTTTACCGTGCGACCCAACACCCGATGGTTTGTTATATCATCGGAATTGGACTCGACCATCAATGGGGCCCAATAGAACTCTATTTTCGCATTATATTCCTACAAAAATTGACAATACATAAAAAGAAAAATTATTGTTTTCAATTTTAATCGCTCTAAGTCATCTCCAACCCTTATATCTACTATAGCGCACACTTTACTCTACCCTAGAGTAGAGTTGAACATTCATCTCCAACCCTTATCTCTACATTTTACTTTACATCAAATATATTAATTTTTATATTATTTTTTTATCAATAATATTTATGTATCAATAATTTTATATCCAAATAAACCCTATCCAAAATTTTATCAATAATATATATATTATGTACATACATTATAATAAAATCATACAAAAATATATAAATAAAAAATAACAAAAAAGGGAAATCTATACAAAAAATTTAAATAAAAGAAAATAAAAAAAAAATAAATCTAGCGTTGTATATATATATAAGATAACAAAATCATACAAAAATATATAAATAATAAGGCAATCTATACCAAAATATATAATAAAAGAAATAAAAAAAAAAGAAAAAAAAAATAGCGCAATATCAACAATACTGCGCCAGATATAGTATAGAGATGCACTGTGCATTTCTTCATTCTGGCGCAAAAATAAAGCGATGCATTGGAGGAGAAAACTTGCACAACTCCAGCGCAATTCACAAATGTAGCGCAGCGCCGGAAGCGGTCTAAGTAAAAGTGTCAATTAATTTGGTCAGAAATTATCATATTCAAGCCCGACCCGTAGCCTTCGAGTCAGGTCAGGTCAAACACACACTATTTTCTAAACGGATCAGGTTCCAATTATAACATATATTATATATAATTTTTATATATTGTAATTATAAATTCAATATTTTTTTTATTGGAAAAAAGATAAATATCAAAATTGGTTTAGGGGGGTTGGGATGACCTCGTGAGCCTGCCATGTCGAACTCAGAGCAAGTCATGAAATTGCCCGACCCAACATAACCTATTGTCATCTCTAACACCGAACATGGATTAATATTTAATATCGATTATTTTCCGACAATTTAGTTTTCCGAGTGAAAGTCTTTACTTAATTATGAATACAAAGAAAATCAAAATACCAAATATAACTTCAACAAATATCCAAAAATACAACGTATCAAATTAAATTATGGGTCATACTACAGTAAATTTGACACGATAACACGTTTTATAATCATGTTACTTTACACATCACATTACTTTTAAAATCAACAACTACCAAACATACACGATATGTTTCTTACATCCTCTATATTAACATATTATGTTAAAAACTTAAAAGTAGCATAATCCTAAAATTATGAACATTCTACTCAATCAATCACACGAGTCAAGTGGACACATTTTTACACTTAGTTAAGTGGGCATTTATGATTTTTCTTATTCCATTTTTATTAATTGGTGTACATGTTATACAATTGTAAAAAGTAAAAAGTTACTTTGTGGACTTACTTTAACCGTGAAAGTTAATAAACTGCTGCCATCGTTGTGTACATGTGACTCGGGGCCACCAGGAATTGCTTTGCCAATCAAACAAACCATAGAAATCCATTGCACTCTATTAAGAGAATCTCCAACAAACACAAGCCTTTTATTCCTTAATTTCTCCAATAATGCAATGGCATTGAACCTTTATAAACATAGGAAATAAATAAATAAATAAATATAACATTTCACAATCCTCAAAAGGGGTACATTAATTGCATAACAAAATGTACAATTTTCATAAAATTGTTAAAAATAAAAATTTGAAAAACCTTGGAATGTTACAATGCTGAGGTTTCCATCGCCAATTTCGATATTCGAAATCTTTTCTCCCATACCTTTCGCATGCGAAAAAATTCTCGTCTAACAAACATTCATCCTCGTTGTAAAGTGGGTACGACACGTTATCGTAAACCCATCTCCCCGTAAAAAGATCACATTTTACCGTTTGTTCTTCTTTCACAGCCGTCAAATTCTTTTTCACTACTTTCCAATAACTAATATCCCGATTCAGATAAAGGGCGGCAGCCGCCAGCAGGGCCACCACGACCAGCCCTTCCAGCAGCCGGAACATGTAACAAATCTCCCATTTTTTTAGAACCATTTTTAATCTGAAATTTTCTTAAGAAAAAAAAAAAAGTTGAGCTTTATGCTTGATGTATACAAGCTACATTGACTCATTGAGTATGTTTCTTTAGTATTTCTTATTTAGATATGTTAGCTATTCTTACTCTCATATATCGATATATCGCACGTGGTTTTACGAAATTATGTGAGTAACATTGAAGTTCATTCAGTCGTAAAAGAATAATCGGCGATCTTTAGTCTTTAAGCAGAGGATTAAACAGAGTAGCCGAAATCTCTTTTCGCCTTATATAATATAATTTGATTATTATACTCATTTACTCATTTGATTTCGTTTCATTCATTTCCTTCTAAAAATAAGTTCTTGTTGACTTCGAAACTTTACTAGCGAATCAAACATTTTTGCTATGTAACCACATAACAAATCAAGACTTTACCTTTGTAACGTGTTAATAATTAACAATTAAGATCAATTTTTTTGTAAAGTGTTAATAATTAACAACCGAGATCAAACTTTTTGGCTAATTTTTTTGGCCCGACTCGTGGTTAAAAATATAAGCGTACAAAAGCTCGTTCCACGTGTCTGGAACTCCCGGCAGACACCAGTGAATACAATCTGCGTATGATAAAGGGTTCGAAATTTGCGACTCCGTTAAAGGCTCCCATTGTTTTCGGTAAATCGATGGGTGGCCTTCTTTTCTGTACTCTGAGAGTTGTGTTATGTTGATCATTTGGACATTTAATCCTCTGTTTTGAAGCTCATCTAATGTTTTTTCCACTATTTTCATCATGTTAGGATCTGTACCTTTTCCCATGTAACCTTCTTTGGATATCAAATCAGTCTCCGTGTAACAATTTTGGCCGTTGGATTTTCCCCATTCTTCAGCCCTGCAAAGCGAATACAATATGAAATTTATGGTAAAATATTCTTTTTTGCATAAATTATTTGGCTAATTTGAGTGGAGATAAGTTAACATTTTACGTACTTAAAATAACATCAATATCTTGGGCACTTTTAATGATTGGTTCCTTTTAAATAAGTATATATATATATTTTTTTAGATAAATATATATTCAAGAAACTGCATTATAATTTTTTTTTTTCAAAAATCGAAAAATAAATGAGTTCTTGTCGAGTTGTACCACATTTTCACGAGCTCGTTTATAGTTGAATTCAGAAAATTATCTTTGTACTCGTGCAGGTAGTGTCAATATGGAGTATTTTACCGTTGAATCAATATATGCACAACTGAATTAATGTGTTGCTAGTCGAGTAAGATCGAATTTACCATTGAACTAATAGGAATGATGAAATAATAATGTAAATATAACAAAATTTGATGAAATAAGAATGTAAAATATTTGATATTAATTGGTGTGTTGTACCTTTCATGAGTTGGGGACATGCTCATAAAGTACAACTGAGTCTTGGAACGATTGACGTGAATTTCCAACCAATCGGACCAAGTCCTTAGCGCCATTTCATAGCTACGAAGCATGTTCACTTCCTTGTATATCCCATCTGAATTATTGAATGAGCCCCACCTAAAAAAATTATTCATAATTAACATTTACAAAAAATAAAAGAAAAAAATATAAATTGAAAACTATTTTGGATATACTTCACCGTACACTGGACTACTGTCAATAATCAAATTTTTCACCATTGGATCAACACATACTACAAATTTGTTCGGGCAATTTGTGTGTTGATCCAACGGTTAAAATCAAATAACTGCACTGCAATTTTGTATATTTGTATAGTATCGAGAGTCTTCCATTATTTAGATCGAAACTGTTCTTACATCTTCTTTCATTCACTTATAAGACTTTCAGTTGTGTTGTGTGTAAGATCGAAACTTCTCTTATAATTTAGGTCGAAAAAAACAATCAAAAACTTATTAAGAGTCAATTTCATCCTACAAACGAGTTTGGGGCAGTCATAAAGTTTTTCAGCATTTATCAATACATACTCATGTGTGTGTATGTTAATCCTGAAAAATCGGTCTAATATGCACGTATTAATCTAACAGTAAAAAATTTCAATGTAAGTATACTTGAATATCCCTTATTTAGGTTTGGATTTTCACTTACAAGACTTTCATTTTGGGCCTTCGCCACCACAAATAGGTGTTGAAAACCAGTATATCAGCGTCAGTCCAATGGCGGCCGTGTTTTTCAATGGCTTGGGCTCTCACTATGCGGTCCGGTAGCCGGTGACTTACTGGATCATCTGAATTGGACTCCACCATCAATGGGGCCCAATAGAATTCTATTTTTGCATTGTATTCCTACGAAAATCACAAAATATGTTACAACTTCTGTTTTTCTTTTTGTTCATTTAGTTGTCTGAAAAGAAAATTAGTCTCATACATGTAATTTAAAATTCGAAATTCGCCATGAAATTCATTAGAATTTAATTAATTAATAGTAATACCAATTTTCAGCCAATATTCGGACAACCAAAATGTCATAAAATTGGTAAATTTTATAAATTGTGAGAATATTATTTGTTCGTTATATTTTAATAAAACTACCTTTTTTTTTGGTAAATTCCTTATAGACAAATTTTCCGGTAATTCGGATAGTTAGTACTTTTAATCAGTCGCCGTGTGGTGTTCATACTATGAGAATTGAACTTAATTGTAATTTTGAACTATTGTAGAAAAAATTATAATAATAATAATAATAGTAACAGAAAATGAATATTTTCAAAAACAAATCGGTAATAATTAATGAAAAATGTGGACTTACTTTGGCTGTGAAGGTGATTAAAGAGCTGCCATTGTTGTGCATGTGTTTGCGACCATGTGGGATTGCGTGGTCAAGCAAGCACACCATAGAAACCCATTGCCCTCTATTAAGAGAGTCCCCAACGAACACAAGCCTTTTATTCCTCAATTTCTCTAATAATGCTGTGGCATTGAACCTTTATTANCGCCATACTCAAAAAATCATTTACCATAAAAAAAAAGAATAAAAAATATATCCTCAATTGTATTTGTTTATTTATAGAAGGCTTAATTGAATTCTTGTTGATCTAATTATGTACCCATAAATTTGAAGGACATCCTTTTGAAAGTAGGTTGAATTTGTTCACCAACTTAAGAATTGGTTGTGCATGTATCTTCTATCCTTAGAAAACAAATAGATGGAGGAATTAATGTATAATTTGAATAGCATAATTTAACTTTTATATTTTTATATGAATAGTAAATGTTAAAAAAAAAAAAATCAAAGTTTCAATTGCAAAAGATGGAAAAACGATAATTTTCTCATCCGCAAAAGTTCTAGCAAACTCGAGTTAGCCGAACGATTCATGCATGTTCTCGATTACGACGACGAAAAAAGCTTCAAAAACATGATTCTTGCTCGAAATAAATATGCAAATTCTTGTATGAGTCAGTTTTACCAGTAATTTTACTTGTATTGTTTTCTAAGTGTGAGTCTAATCGTTAGACCAGCCTAACAGAAACCACTCGAGGAGGCCTGAATGTAATCTAAACCTAGCTCGCGAGCCTATTGCAACACAACGAAGCTTACGCAAAGTCGCGACTAAATCGATTTCCTAGTAAAATCAAAGACTCGGGAAATTAATTATTACGATAATCGTGTTAATATCATGAGGCTCGATCGAAACAAAAACCTCGGGAGGTCACAATGGTGTGGTTGCCATCTCCAATGTTGATAATCCAAGTCCTTCCTTCCGAACTTGCCGCACGCCAGTTGGTCGGACATAAACGAGCACTCGTGCTCTCCGTACAACGGATAAGACGTGTTGTCGAAAACCCATTTTCCAGAGAACAAATCGCACGACGACCCAGAATTCGATGCTGCTGTCGAACCGTTAAGTCTGTCTTCCTGCACTAAGTAGCCGCTCTCGGCCGTTAGGTAAACGGCTCCGACCACCAAAACGGCAACGAGAAGAGCCACGAGCGTGTGGAAACTGCACCGGACGTCCATTAGGGCCGCGCCGGAAAAGTAATCCGGCGGATTAAGATTGTTTGTTTTCTTTGAGGTTTTATTCATTTGGTTTTTGTGTGNGTGTTTGGTTTGTGTCAAGGGTTTATATATGGAAATTTTGTGTGTGTGGAGAAAGTAGGTGAAAATGAGCTATCGGGATTGGTTAGAAGTGGATTAGAGAGAGTAGAGAAAGTTGAATTTTATGGAGACGATGTGTATTATATGGTTTAGTTCTTAGGTTGTTGATTGCTTGGCTTTCTTGATCTCAACCGCTTTTGCTTTTTTAGATTTAAACATATGATGTCCTTTTTTCTATTTTGGTTTGTAAGAACGTGATAGTAGTTCAAGTTTCAATTTTAAATTTGATGTTCAATACTTTTTAAGATAGAAAAATCAAAGTTATTTGCGTTGTGTACGGGCTGTCGTTTTCTCTTCGCATCTATTTTATTTCATCATAAATACGATAATAAGTCCAAATTTATTTTTTTATGTACATATTTCGTGTTGTGTTTGGAATCGTGCTCATTGTGTTATCTATTATCTATCCAGTTGTGTTTTCTTAAATCATTTAGATCATGTTACCTGTCTTGCCAACGTTTGTCATATGTAATTATTAATTTTCGTCTTAAATATATAAGCCTAACAATTTTTGCCACTATTTAAGAAAACACAATGGATTAGACTCATTTGTTTATCAGCGATTTGGATCTCATTTAAAAGTTTGACCAATCAAATAGAACTTATTAACTTATTTGATAACAAATTTTCTTGATTAGCGTTTAGACCCAAATCAATTCCAACATAATATTGGTTGATTACATAAATATACACAAGAAAATGATATATACACCTATATTTGTAACTCATTTATTGGTGATCATAACAACTTTGGATGTTGGGAATGGGATAATTAGGTGGAGCAGTTGTGTTTTGGGTAAGCGGTTGGCATCTCCAATCGTTTAAGTCAAGTGAACCTTCACAAAAGATTCAGATAAACTATAAAGGGAAATGAGAACATTTGCTTAGCCATAAAATGAAATTTGGATGTTACCGTTAAATATCAAGAAATTTGGAATGTTATCATAAAGTATCAAAACATTACAATAGGAGTTCTGAATTTTTGTTTGTTAAAGAGGAGAAATCAAATATATTTCTTTTCGTAATTATTGTAATTAGGGGTTCTGAATTATTGTTCTGGTTAATCGAACCCAACCGAATTCAAAAATCTGAATTAACCGAATTCGCCATTTATCGAAACCGAACCGTCTGAAATATTTTGATATGTTAAATACACGGAATATATTGTAACTTATAATATAAAATGATACATTTTATTTTCTGATCATTTATTTACTTTTAATAATAACAATTTTTTATGTAATACAGTCGGTTTGGTATATTATAAAATTTAAAAATTAATATCGAAATCAAACTGAAATAACCAAAAAAATTTAAAATAAAAACTTATAAGGAAACCGACATGAAAAATGGAATTGTATATTTATAATTTCGATTGATTATATTGGTTTTTAACTGAAATTTACACACCCTAATTGTGGTATTATATTCTCCGCAAATATGTGTATTTACTATTTATATAATTTGGATCTTCCAAATGCTGAGGATAGTTTTGTAATATATATTCAAAAGAAAAATAAATGAGATTGACGAATATATTTACTCTTAACTTTTCTAATCTTCTTCGTGTTCCTGTGAGGCTGTGATGATAAACACACTTTATTTTTCTTTTTCACGAAGCATTGGTTGCTTGCAAAATCCAATTGATTGCATGTGGTGCAATCATATATTCGCAAGTGGGAAGGTGAATTCAGTTTTATATAATAGTTATAAAAGTGTCAAAAAATAAAATTGATCCTAAAAATCATCTAGCCATCAACTTGCACACCATCACTATAAATCACAATCAACCCTCAATAATATTTAACTTAATAGTCAATAGATAGAGATTATTTATGTTGGTTACACTAATTACTATACCAATTGAGCCAAGTCGAGGCAAGTCAAAGTCGAGCTCTTGATAGTCTCGAGTCTGATCAGCTCGGGTCATTGTATAAACAAGCTCATTAAAGCTTGTTAACGATCAGATAACTCGAACATTAAGAAATCAAATTAATTATGCTAAAATTTTATAAAATTACCTATCGACCCCTAATTTTTTTAACTCGATTTTGCTCGTTAACTACTTTTAGATTTACTTCATACTAGCACAATCTATTGTTCTAAAATTATGCCTCACCTCTTATTTCATTTCACTGAAAAAATTTTCAAGTTATGATCGATGATGTTACCACTCACTATAAAAAAAATTGTTATATTCCAACGAAAAATCTTATGGTAATATATTGCAATGGAAATTCCAACGAAAATATTCCGTTGGAATGTATTTTCCATTGAAATTTTAGATGGAATTTGATGATTCCAATGACTATATTTCCAACAGTTTTTTCACCGTAGGAATTTCTGTTGAAATATGCAATTTCTATTAGAATTTTTATTTCCACCACCGTTGGAAAATCTACTGTTGGAATCGTCAAAATCCAACGAAAATTCTAATTGAAAACTCATTTCGACTGAATATTTTTATTGGAATTTCCGTTCGAATTATTCCAACGGAAATAATAACATTGAAATATTTATTGGAATTGTTGTTGGAGTTCTATTGGAATATATTTCCGTTGGAATTTCATCATTTTCTTGTAGTGTACTATTCAATTGACATTCATTCAATCGAATAAAATATAATTTACGACATATAGAATTTTTTCCCAAAAATTCAATGATTATTGATAGTAAACAAGTATATAAAAAAATTAGGAAACAAATAATGAAAATAATACATTTTTTCCCTAACAACTATTTTAGTAACAACCCATATTTCTAATTAAGCTCCTCAAGTTGTGGGGATTGGGGAGATATTTTCAGATTCTTGCCATGACTTTATTCTTCGGATCACAAATGAAAAAAATGGCAGAACAATCATGGAAGATATGTTAGAATTTTGTATTGTGGGAGGATTTTTATTTTATTTATTTAATTATTTGAAAGAGTCCTTTAATAGACAATACCCACTGGGCTCTTCAGCCCATTGGTTGATAAGTGAAAATATCATCATCATGCTTGCGAATAACTGAAATGCACTATTCGGACATATATATATTTACATATTCAATTTCATTCCCAGAAAAAAATTGGACAATAATTATGAAATACGATTCCAACTAAAACTACGTGTCTTAAAATTTTATTGGTTCACAAATAGATTCTATTTCAAATGCTAAATAGTTGGGAAGATTTAAAACAAGATTATACATCGTATCTTTAAGCTTCCACTATTCATTTACAATCGATAATAGAATTTTTTTAGACAAATCGGTTAATACAATCAGGATACTATAATGTAACAGTAAACTTGTGAATGAATCGAGCCGAGCTTAGCTTGTTAAATAAACGAGCCTGAAATCGAGTTCGAGTTCGCCTCACTTATCACTAATAAGTAATAACGAGCCTAACTTTAACCAGTCGATCTCGAACTTTAATGAGTCAAATTATAAAAAATTATATAAAAAACTCTTTTTTGGGGCCTTAACAAACGTTATCGAGTCGAGCCGAACTCGAATCGTTAACCAAATAATCTTGAAATGAGATCGAGCTTGACTCGTTTCTCAAATGAGCTGAGTCGAATAAGACTCGTTTAATTAATAATAACAACTTTAAACATTCGCTATTTACTATATAAACGCTCACTTACAAACCGCCGATCGAATCTGCTAATTACATCAACAAATATTAGCAAATACTATCAGTTATCCATATCCACTATTCTTCGTAGTCTCTATCGTATAATAGTCAAAATATATACATGTACCTTCTAACTTGTGCATTGAGAAGGAACTATATAATATAGGTCACAAGGCCCACAACTTGAAACACAAATAATACCTAATTGTGTGTGTGTGTGTGTGTGTTTTTTCCAACAGCTGAAATGAAGAATATGCTTTTGCAACTCAATTGAAGTTTGGAACTCAATTTAATAATTTAAGTTATTTCATTTTCATCAAGTAGTGTCTAGACATCTGTAGAATACATTATATGGGACCATATTATTCCTTTTTTTCTATGTATATTAATCGATCGGCCTGTGATATAGATAACTTTAAGAGAAAAAAAAATATGGTGCTTAAATTTTCTATATTATCAAGGGAAAAAAGATGGACTCAACAAGAAGATTTAATGTATAGAATAGATTAATGGAAAGATAAGATGTGTGTATATTCAAAGAAGCAAATTAAGTGGGAAGTTTGACCAGTCTTTGACAGAAGAGAAGGGAGAAATATGACCAGCCCGATTTTAAACTTTTAGTTACTTTTGTTTCTTCAATTAATATGCAATTTTCCAATTTATGCATGTGGCATACTATAAATGCAATAAATACAACATAAATAATATTATGAAACTGCACAACATAAATAATATATATATATTAGTATGACGGATCGGCCTGAATAGTGATTATGGACAATATTCTTGATATAATATTCTTAACAAAAATAATTTCACAAAAAAATGTAATTTTTAAATAATATTATACAATATATTGTCAAATATTATAGTTTCACTTGATTTTGTGCTAGACAATCATATTATTTCAACAAATATATGCGTTCACACTTAATACTATAAATTACAATATAAACATAATTATAACATAATATAACATATGTATGCATTTTTCTGATGATTAACAGTTAAAACAACATCTATTTAATAGTTTTATTTGTATTTCGAAAAAAATACATCTTATAAAATTATGAATTTTTATTAAAAGAATGTTTGAGGTCATAATTAAAATTTGAAAAATCATAGTTAAGCCAAAATTACGTTTCCATCAACTTTACTCGAAAATTTAAAACTCGTTGCTAAATAAATAAAAAGAAAAAAGGCCTTATCTAAAATAAAATAAAATAAAATAAAGGATGAGAATAACAATTAGGATTTGGGATAACGTGAAGGCATTGAATATACACAACTGACTGTCCATTCTTTCTAAATTGGGGTTGCTAAATACGCACCCTTTTTATTA